CTCAAGGCAAAAGAGGTGGCGGCAATGACGGGGTCTAGTTCAGTGTCATCATGGGATCGTGATGGTAGCACCCACTAGCCACCGCCGATGAGTAGAGTGGATATATGACCTTCATTTTTTAGTGGAGCAAGGTTAGAATGACATTAATTTCGTAACAGTACTAAAAAAATCAGGATATAACATATTAGCTCTATCATCATAAAGGGGCATTGCACTCTGTTGGATGAATGGAAAGGAGCTCTAGATACTACCCTTGAGATTTGCTAGAATGAACAGCAAGTTGGAGTAATGAGAGAAAAAACAATTTATAATCCCTAACTTCACATAATAGTCGGTGAGATGGAAAACAAACCTACACAGCATCAACGACTAATCTAGGTAGCTTAGCTTATTAAGCCAAAGCCGTGGAGGAAAAACAAGAATATCCAAACAAGAAGATGAAAACAATCTGGGGCATTGCACCATGATGATGCCGTTGTTGGGTTGCTGCTAGATCAAGGGGAACCACGAGGAACAGCAATATGCATCATTTGGTTACCGTTTCTCGAACTATTCTTAACGTGTTCCCGGACTACTAGCTCAGATGACTGTCTTGCACTACTTACTCAGATTTCTGTTGCCTCCCAATCACACGCTGCGTAGCCATGTAGTAATATATGATTGGCCTACTCATCTATAGTGACTCAAATCATGCAGCAAGGCAATGCCCACAACCACCCGAATATAGGAGAAGCTGCCTAGCCCGGCCAAAACAAGTAGTGCATGGGAACGTCACGGACGACACCAAATTTATAATGGCAACGATGGACAGCCACGTACTACTTGAATCACCCACCTACGTTCTGCATGTGACTAGCTTCCTTGATTCGTTTAGCTACAATTTAAGCCTCAATAGAAATAATGGCACTTTCAGTTCGAATTAAGTTGCAGCAAGAGAAACAAGCTAGTGTATTATTTAAGGCGATGATACTCTCTCCTGTTCGCAAAGCACAATTTTTTTCCGCACAAAAGTTCTGTCCAACATTTAAAACATTGGCCACCGTTTTGTAAATTATTTTGTGATGATGTGCACTAGAGCAAATATGAGATTTGGAGTTGGTTGACCGTCCGTTTCCAGTGAAATAGTTTCAGTCGACACTACGATGCTCGTAATTAACTCCCATGGTTTTAAATATGATATTGTCTCTCCTGAAAAGTACCGATTGCACTCCCCTCCCCCCCCCCCAACCATAATTACAAGGCCATATTAGCTAGATGTGGGATGCCTTCAATTTCTCCATCACACTTAATAGTGCGCGCCACAAACTTGTCGGTGTGGCATAAAAGGAAGGAACAAAGTGATACCATTGGGCCACAAACTTGCACACGATGTGGCAGCCGCACTAGCCAGTAGAGGGTGTCGTCTCAAGGCAAAAGAGGTGGCGGCGATGACGGGGTCTAGTTCAGTGTCATCATGGGATCGTGATGGCAGCACCCACTAGCCACCGCCGATGTGGGTGGTGCATGTATCAGTAGTGAAAAAAAACCGAATGCGAACACATAATGTGCTGTGAAGGGTTCAACAATCTGCTTGAAAGCATCCATTAAAGTTAGATAGTGATTGTTTTAATATGAAAGGTTCAACAATCTTCTCGAAAACATACATTAAAGCAAGAGATAATTTGGACCATTTGTTTTTTCATCCAAGAGCTTATGTTAGTTGTTACAGTTAGCTTTGTATTTTGCATCAAGCGCAACTGGGGCAGCACTGAAACAGATTTCCAAGCAAGCATAGAAGTCCCAGCAGATCCTTTTGATTATGAATTGATGACATATGATGTTAAAGGGTGAGCAAGTAACGCCAGCACTGCGTAAGGTAAAATCAGAGGAAATCTAGCAAGATAGTATATGCAGAAATAAGAGGAAGTTCACAAGATAAACGGATGACATGCAAAACTAGCTCCAGGGACAGAGATGCAACTCTTTTTTTAAAAGCGATGCCGACAACTTGTAGGCTCACAACATATAACCAGGATAGTTTTCTTGGTAGTGAGAAAACTCAAGTCAACTGTGATAAAATGAGCAATTCATGTCTAATTGCCAAAATAATTGCAGTTTTACAGTTTAGAAGCCGATATTGTTCTTACCACTACTACGATGCAAAATTGTCCTCGTCCAGCATATAAGTTGGCTCAATCTGAAATCTTGTAGGGCGTGTTTGGTTCGAGAAGGAAGTGGAATGAAATGTCATGGTTCCATTCCACTGGAACGGGTTGGTTTCATTCTTATGTTTGGTTGAGGTAGTTAGGTGAAAAAGAATGGTTACATTTGAGTGTTCGGTTAGGGGAACCGAACGAAATGAATTTGGTTAAACTCACCTCTTGCATAAAAATGATGAGATCTTCCTCTGAGATTACCTCTGGAAATTACCTCATGGAAATGGAACAGTATTTCTATTAACAAATTATTTGAATTACCAGCAAAATTTCGATTGTATTATCGTTTAGACAATTTCTAAGTTCAGTCACTATGTTGGTTTTTGATCTCTAGATAGATCACCCAGGATCACTATGTTGATTTTTGATCTCTAGATCAGATCACCCAGGATCAACAACGTACGTGTATGTGCTAAGCTAGCACACATGCGTACGTGCAACTCCTGTACCTCGAGCTGGCTTTGGCTAGCAATGACTTGATCGAACTCTCTTGGACTCACGTAACCAGGCGATATATAGAGGAAAACGCAGATTAATGGATTGTTGGCCACAGCCTAGTGTCAGGCGTGTTATATCCTTTATTGCCTTTTCTGATCTGGTGTACACGCATATTTATATGCATAAGATAGAGTACTAGCTATCCGGACTCGGTGTACTACAGCTAATACTACTAGTTATTAGTTGGAGTATTGCTCGAACTAGTACGGGCATGTTTAATTTTAACACACTATTCATAAGAAATTAGTTAACCCTTGGTTTCCTTTAGGTAGAGAATGTTGGGAGGATCACACCATAATGACACAAAATAAATTGTTACATCTATAAATAATTTGCATTACCATGGACACTTCATAGTTCATACTCCCGCATGCACCAAAAATTCAGAGTACGGAGTTGGCATTACCACACACGCATCCTGCATGCAAACAAGTTCAGAAATTCAGAGTTCAGAGTCAAAACGTTGGCGTGAGTAGATCAATCCGGCTCCATCCTAGAGAACGCATGGTGCCTGAGGTAGAAGAACCACATGCCGCTGCCAGCCACAGTCTGCCCCTTTACACTGTCTTTCACGCCACCCACCTCCGCTCGCCTGCTGTCCTCCGCTAGTCCGCCGTTGCACTAGTGCACACCATCAGAGAGGGAGAGATGGCGTGGAGGCAAGGGAGAGCCAGCGCCGGAGAGGAAGAGCCGCGTAGGTGGCCTGCGGTGTCGCAGACTGAGAGGAGAAAGAGATGAGGGGGTTGCGGCGCTGAGTTTGTGGGTGACTGAGAGTCAGGGAGGGTGAGAGCGAGGTGTTCTGCGTCGTCCGGCTAATTTGGAGGCATGACCAGGTTTGGCATATCGAGCGAATATGCCGTTCCAGGAACAAATGGATTCTGATTCCTCGTATGGACCAAACACGAGAATGTGCCTAAGGGACGGAACAGACCCGCTACATTCCACCTAATGACACAAACCAAACACAGCCGTAAATGAGAAAAATCATGGGCAGCAGACACCAAAAAGGAGAAATGCTTTTGTTGCATGCAGAATAAAAATGTGGTTGATGTCTCATGTGTTTCTATAATTCCATAGCTACATAAATCCATGCAGCAAACATAGAGTAGCATCAACTTGAGCGAAATTTTGCAGATAAATATGCAGAGGCTCTAAAGGATCATATAGCTACTGAACATTGATGATCACACTTTTCCTAATAAACCTGTCTTAAGTTTCTTCTAAGGAGGAAAGTGGAGCTAGGAGGGTGGCAGCGGCAAACTGTAGAATGATGAGGATGACAGGTTCAGGCCACTATAGAGCCAAGAATGAGTGTCCAAGCCGAGCATGGCGGTCATTGATTGTAGGAGTCTAACCTTCCTAGAACTAGACAGCAGCCATAATTCTATGTATATACTATACCTTATAACATACGAGCATTACCTGTCCCTGCTGCATATGGTGATTTAGTGATGTGAGGTTCATTATCACAGTTAAATCATTAGCAAGACTCGGAAGATAAATTGTAGATAGATATTTACTTCACAAAGACTATTAACCCAAGTCATTAATAACGAACACAAGCTGAGACAATTAAATCCAACAAATTCCACTTCCCGGACAACCGTACATTAAAGTAGAACAACCTACATACTACGGAGGTGCAATCTCAGCGTCAACCACATCACATGCTTCAGCATATGGAGCAGACTAAACCAACTAGACATTTTTCTTCATTTCACCAACCCATGTATAACTCGAGGTACCTGCAGAACAATCAATGTCATGTAAGTAACCCAATTGGTACTACTCATTCCCAGAAGAACTCAAATTTCTGCATGATTTCAACAGTACATTTTAACTTTTCCATTGTGCAAATTATATAATTTAAAAGAATCTAAAGCTGAATCATTGTGCTAATCAAAATTATACTATTAAAAGGACAATAATACAAACAGAGAACAACAATAGAAGAACAATATTCTGTAATGGTTGACAGCAATGTCCTCATGTTTTTTTTGCTACATGAGTACATATGATCGCAGTAGGTCATAAAAGATCAGTGACTGAATGCGTCAAAGAGAGGCAAAGATTAGACTTCTTAGATTGATCTAGATCAACGACATATTATTTAGAAATGTGGGAACTAGACAGTTTGGAATTTATTCACATTAACGCATTACAACCTACAACAATAAATCATGCATCATCTTCTAAACTAAGTATCCAAGACAAAAAGATATGCTACCTTAAAGACATACAAATAACATGCACAAAAATTTACCTCACTCATTCAACGAAGATAGCACATTACTACATCACAAGTGTTCAAAGTTCCAGTTCCACCCATTTCCACCTAACTCCCCTGCCTAAAACCAAAAGAAGCAACAAAAAAATGATGAAAATTCAGAAAGAAATTGAATCAATGGGAAAGCAATATGTGCAAACCGCTATATATTTATGTAAGAAGGGGGAAAATGACTCCACATCTATTGCCAAGTGCAAAACAAGAATGATAAAAAGGTTCAGATGCTCAAGAAAAATGCATTTATCTAGAACTCCATTGTCAAGAAAGCCAGTACCATTTATGACCAGTGTGCAAAAATGAAATATGCACGTTTAGCATCACATAGTACCATTTAAATTATATGAACCGGTAATACTTTCCACTAACAAATTAAGTATGTGCTGTTATGAATTGATGAAGACAAAGATTATCTTGCACATACATTTATTGGATAGAACAACATAATGATCTTTGAAGCTTTCAAATGTGCCAGTGGGTTAACTATTTTACATAGGAGATTGTTTCCTCATATTTTTCTTAGTGTAGTTATAGCCAGTTTCCAATTTTTATAAACCTCCTGATGGAAAGATCATTAAATGGACAGAGTCATAGTTAGCATTTAGAAGTGGCAGGGCATCAAAGCAATAGATATCCGAAATCCATCTTTAATGTAGCCCAATAATAATAAGTTACATCACGATACATCACAGGCACAACAAAGAAACAAACAGCTCAATGTATCCTGATCGATCCTTAATCATATTAACAATGTTGCAGCAATCACATACCAAAAGGAACTGTAATGAATCGCCGCAGAACAAACTAATGGATTTTTTTGGTTGTGCAATGTAGATAGGGAGGGATTACCTGCAGTGTAGAAATTATGGTAGGGATAAAACATGTCGATACACATGTCATTTCTTTTAATGATATGTTTGATCTGCATTGAGTCAAGTTGGATCATGAAGCTGCCAATCCCCGTAGACAGAACAATCGCATTTGTGTCCTCATCATACCCCACGATAAATACCAAAGGCTTTGTGCTTGGAAGCAACCCCTCCAAAGGAATGGTTTTCTGCAGCAACACGCATCCGACAACACCTTCACAGTTAAGTTTCCTTTCCCATAATTGGACGGTCAGTCCCGACAAAGCAGCGAGGCCTAGTCCACCATCCTCCATCCGTAAGAGCTGAAAAGACCAGTCACTGATAGCTTTCTTGTCTGCCGGCTTCTCAATCACAGCAAGACTCTGCATTTCAGTATCAAACACAAGGGCATCACCTCCACAAATCGTCCAGCAAAGCACATTTCCGACAAGGATGCTGTACCTTGTCCAATGAATTTTATTTTCTATCGCCGTCGAGAAAATATCTCCCCAAGCCCGAGATGTGGAGTCATAGAAAGAAGCGAATGCCTGCTCGTATCTGTTGCAGATCAAGACCAATTTGAACGGCCCCCTGATGCAATCTCCGTGCACGTGCCCATCTTCGGCATTAGCACAAAGCACCGCGGCATCCCCATGGAGCTTTGTCTCTTTGGCACCGAGAGACGATTGGCATGGATGCGGTCAGGCGCTTCCAGGATGGGATTGAAGTCGCAGACTACGGTATAACTTTGGTTGAAGAAGCCGATTAGCGGGGGTTTCCTGTGGTGTTTCCGGAAGCGTTGGACGAATTGGGGGTCAGAGAGGATGCTGCGCCAGCGCTTGCATACGGCGGACGCACGTGGGAGGGAGGATGGCTGAGGAGGGAGGTGCAGGAGGATCTCCTGCAGAATGTCCTCGTCTTCCAGTGGAGGTGCCGTCGCCGGCGAGAAACGGCGACAGCTCATACTTCAGTCTAGGGTTCCTGAAAGCAAAGATCGGAAAATAATCATCAATCAAGAATGTTAAAACCAAATCAAAATTGGGAAAATCACGATCTAGGAAAGGAGTAGTAGAAACAAGGGGCCTCGCCGTCACCGTTGCTTCCAGGGGCCGTGCCGGAGCGCCGCCGTTTGTCGCCTCAACCGTCGAGGAACTAGGGTTAGGGTGAAGGACGATGGTGGCTGGGCCAGTGACGCGACAAGCGGAGGAGGCAGGGAGAGGCGCGGCAGACGGATGGAGAGGTTTGGCCGAGGGCAGCGTGGCCGACGGAGGGAGAGATTTGGCCGAGGGCAGGAGGAGCACGTCGCCGGCGCGGGAGGAGCAGCGGCGTCTGGCCGCCGGCGCTCGGAGAGGCGCACGATCTGAGTGAGTGATGCGTGTTTTTTTTCTTTCTTTTCACGATGTGGAGGCAATTATGTAAAAAAAAAACATACAAACATTGGGAGCAAGAGGAGCGTCCTGCACCCACAGTTCAGTCCAACGATCAGCTCTGGAAATATATAGTACTCCCTCCGTTTTTCTTTGTTTGCGTATAACTTTTTGCCCTTTTTTCGCTTTTAGTCTGCGCCTAAGCATTTTTCTCCCGATCTTTTCAATACTGCCCCTCTCGTTCGTCTTCCCACGCAGCCGCTGCATTAACTAGGCGCAGTCCTCTCTTCCGCTTCGCCTTCTCGTCTCCCTACGCCCCCCTCCACAAATCGCCCCCTCCACTCTCCCAATCTGCTCGTTCCCATGGCCAACGATGGATTCAACCCGTGCTTGTGGGGAGAGAGCCAACCAATCGAAGAAGATGAAGTAATCTACAGCATAGAAACGATAGGAGCGGACGGCGACGGACATGGCCATGCGCTCGTGGTCGACAGCGCCGGCCAAGAGGAGGAAGGCGACGGCGCCGTCCAAGCCCTTACGGAGGAACACCGTGGCGTCGGCCATGCGCGCCCAGAGGAGGGCCACGCCGAGGCAGGCGATGGCCACCTGCAGGTGCTCGCGGAGGACGGTCATTGCGATCAAAAGGTCGGAGGGAGTAGTACAGAACGAAGCTTACCGTCGTCGCCCTCTTCGAAGACGTACACATACTGCAGTTCAGCCGCATCGCCATTGTACTGCTCGTCGACCTCATCCCAGTTTATGGGCACGTTGAGGTCCAGATTAGCCATCGGATACTCAGAGAAGGGAACGGGAGAGGTGAGAAACAGAGGAGAAAAGTGCAGAGTTCTTCCATGGCATGGACGAATTTATAAGCATGCTACTCTCGGTTTCAAAGGTCCATGGCGCTATAGCTGAAATTCCATGGCGCCAAGACAGTTTTGGAGGGAATGGAAATTGGCGCACAGCTAAAATTCGCGTCGTTGAACCAGAAAAATGGCGCTCTACGTAGTGCAGGGAAGCGATGCTTCAT